TCTCTTTGGTGGATTCCCATAGCACCCGGGAGGCACCAGCAGAGGATGCCTTGGACTGGACTGTAATCCCCAGTCACTCATCTGCAAAGCCTGTCCTGCAAGCTCCCAGAAGGCACTGCTGATCCCTGCTCATCTGTGTCTGGCCAATGCCTAGCACATGTCCAGACCCGATGTCGCGGACACCGGGCTCTTACCTTTTGATGACCTCATTCTCCACCATTGAGCTGTCTACCACGATGATCTGCTCTGGGATCCTGACGTCCTCGGAATTAAGGCCCAGAGAGAAGAGGGTCAGGACGGCCACACAACTTCCTCCAGGGCCGTCCAAGGCCACCATGTCATTTGTGGGCTCGTTATTATCCTGGTCTTTGAAAGAGAAATGATCAGGCTGGTCCAACTTGCTGGCAGCCTGCATTCTGTCCAAAAACTGGAATGACTCCTTGCAGATGGTGCTTGGAAACTGCCATGTAAAAATCCTACACAGACAAAAAGGAAGGGCCTGAGGGGTGGCCATGGGAAGCCTTCATTTGGACAAGCTATGAGCACACCAAATCATTATGATGAGAACTAAGTGAAACGCCCCACTTCTCCCCTAAAGCTCTCTTTCCCATCCCAAATGATGGCGCTGCGTTCCCAGCTAGTGGTGTGTGTGTCTCTCTCTTCCCCGCCTGCCTGAGCATCTTCCGGGCAGAGTCCTGTCTCATCTAACTCATTGTGGCCTCACCTGGCACTCCAGGAGGGCGCTGGCAGGCTTACCTCACCAGCGCTCACCGTGCACAGATGCTGAACTAGGGATGGTGAACATGCTTTCTGTAACAACAGTCTCTGCACAAAGCCAGCCCTGGTCTCATATAGAAAGGAGGGGACATGTGTGCCTAAGGTCATTGTCTCCATGCAGTGCCTGGTGAGTCACTTCCCTGGCTTTGTCCAGAGAGCAGCATTCCACGACCCTGCTACCAGGGTTAAAGGGAGGGACCCAAGGGGCCTTCCTTGTTTGCTGACCACTATCATAGGTTCAGATGGGGACATCAGAGCAGTGGCTCCATGACAAATGGCCTTGTTGGACTTGGACATGTATCTTCTGCTGCTAAATCTACTTCCCAGAGGCCCAAGGGTCATTTGAGGTGAGGGTTTAGGGAGGAGAAAGTGTCTACCATCACGGGGAAGGGATGGGATAGAGAACTGAAAGATTCTTGGTGTTGTCTCTGAGCATCTGACTACAGCCCCGTGCCGACCGGAGGGTAGGCAAGGAGAATGGCGTGAAGGGAAAACCGTCAAGGTGGCAGCTTGGGAATATTCTCAGGGGTTTCGTCTGCATGTGGTCAGGAGGCTGATGATGCCACACCAGCTGTCACATGAAGCCACATTGCAAGAGCACTTCAGGAGGGGGCCCGTCTGAATGCACCTCTGCACCCCAACCCTGCACCAGCTGCTGGTGCTGCAAATGGGCCTGGGAGGCTTCCCGGGTCTCGGGGCTACGCAGAAGGGGGACTGAGGCTAAGCCCAACCAACAGGGTGGACTTCCAGCCAGGCTACTTCTTAAACTGATTTCACACCACTTGATGAGAGAAACAAAAATAAACTACCTGCAAAAATGGCAACGCCACCAACACAAAGATACTGCCAGCGCCCACCTTATCCCCACACCAGAAAGGAAGACAGGGGCTGGAGGAAACCCCAGCCTGCATCTTGTGCACGAGGCTTCGAGGGGTCCCGGCTCCTACACACTCTCATGGCCCTGGATGTTTCCATGGTTCCTCTTTAGAGACAGGGCGTGGCTCAACCTCAGAGTACCCAGGGCTTCTGACAGGCACTCACCTGTAGTAGGTCTGGGACAGCTGGTAGGACATTGGCATGAAGGGCAGGGCCTGGTTCTTCTTGGGGCCCAGCATGTGGTTGACCTGGCACCGGTTGACCAAGCTCCTCTTCTTGCACTCCATGAAGGCCTTCACGAGAACATGGTCCTTGTACTCCCAAGAGAGGTGAAAAGTCTGCAACACAGCATGGCGAGGGTGAGTAGGGTTCTCCAGCCGGTCAGGGTATGTGGATGCAGAGGCTGTGACTGATACTTTATAGAGGAAGTGACAGACTGGGGGAGGCCCAGGCTGGCATGTGTGTGTGTTAGTGTGTATGTGTACGGGGCGGGGCTGAGGAAGTTCACAATCCCAGGTCTCAGACCATCACGTTACACTTCCACAGACCACAAGGACAGGGAACTGATGAGACCAGGTTTATTCCCTCGAAAGCCGATTTCTTTTGGATACAAAGACAGAGGAATCAGCACAGAATCATCTGGTCGACCATGCTGTCCCTTGGTCTCCCACCCAGCCATCAGTACGTCAGGTTGGCTCTACCTTCCAGTGCATCGGGTTTGTGCCACCTGCCCTGGCCCATCTAGTCCATGCCACCGCTGTTTCTCACCATCCCAGCTGACTGGTCTCCCTCCTTCCGTATGTCACCTCCGGCTAACCCCTGACCATTCTCCACAGCAGCCAAAATCATCCTTCGATGTCTAAATTGGAAAACACATTCCCCCCCTGCCTCAAGCCCCCCAGGACTTCCCTCTGCAGATGCGACAGCAACCTGTCCTTTCCAAGGACAGGGGACACGGTGCGTGGGGCCCGCCCGCCTGCCACTCTGGCCTCGCCTCCCGTAACACCACCCCTTGCACTGCCCTCCAGCCTCCTGGGCCTTCTTACATGTCTTGGAAAAGCCCAGGCACCCTTCCTCGGGCCTTCACCCTACCACTCCCCTAAATCTTTGCAGGGCTGATTCCTCAACATTCAAGTCTCAGGCCAAATATTTCCCCTCAAATAACAAATTCTTCTCCACTCTCCTCTGTGGTCAACTGCCTCGTATTATCCTGTTTTATTTTTCTCCATAGCAGCTACCTGAAATGATCTCATCTGCTTATTCCTTGTTTAGAAGTCCCCGGAGAACACAGATTCAACTCTGTTTTTTTTTTTTTGTTTTTTTTTTTTTGAGCCAGGGTCTCACTTTGTTGCCCAGGCTGGTGTATGGTAGCACCATCACGGCTTACTGCAGCCTCGACCTCCTGGCTCAAGCAATCCTTCTGCTTCAGCCTCCTGGGCCGCTGGGACTACAGGTACTATGTCTGATTAATTTTTGTATTTTTTGTAGATATGGAGTTTTGCCATGTCGCCCAGGCTGGTCTCGAACTCCTGGCATCACGCTATCATCCCACCTCAGCCTCCCAAAGTGCTGAGATTACAGGCGTGATCCACCACGCCTGGCCTCGATTCAACTCTTGCTGCTGCAACCCAGTGTCAGGGCGGAAGGAGGTGCCTCTGCTGGACATGCCATGGTGACTTCATGGCTCAGCCTGCTAAGTCTCGTAGATCTGGGCCCCGCCTAGTGGAAGAGCAGCTCAAAGGACTGTGCGGTCAGCAGAGTCTCTATTCCTCCAAGCTTCTGAAAAGGACAAGCAACCAGCAGTTCCTGAGTATCCAGCATCTGCCAGCCTCTGAAAGAGCTCCTACAGGACTGTCTCCTCAAAAGCACTGGCCAAAAAAAATCCCTGTCATGGTCTAAGGATTTTAGGTGCTGCCCCAGGACCCTGAGTGCCAGAGGAGGCTGAGGCACACGGACTTTAAGTGGTCCTCCAAGGTCACACTGCCAGGCAGAAGTGGAACTGAGGAGAGAAGAGCAACCTCATTACTGCACCTTCCTTTCAGCGGAGGGACACAAGGGGACTGGGGACCAGCATGGTGGTCAGCTGGGGCTCTGGGGCAGCACTCAGGTGTTCCCCGGAGCTTGTCTGACTGAAGCCTGTGCAACTCTGCTTCCTCTAGACAGCACCTGTGCATCAGTCGTGGACATGCAGCCCATTAGGCCTTAAGGGAAAACTCTTTCCATGTGGTGGACGGCAGAAGCTGGGAGAGGCCATTATAGCATCACCCCTCCCCAGAGCACTGGAGAGAAGCTGCAGCTCACTCCTTGTGACAAGCCTTCTGTGACTTTGCTCTTCTCTTCCATTTGAATGTAATTAGTGAATGGGTGCATTCTCATACAATGGGATAGGAGTGCTCAGGCCATATGTGGGGAATTGGGGGTGTGGTTTACCCACTCATATTTCCAACAGGTTGGGCTGCCACAGGCACAGTGAGCCAGACTGCGGCCTTCCATTGGCTTCCCAGAACCTTGAATTCCTCAGGGGCCTTGTGGGGTCCCCTATGGGGCTCTGACATTGCTATTGGCCTTCCCGTCCTCACTTGGGAGCCACTGAAGAAGTCACTAAAGAAGTATCCTGCTTCCTGCTGGGGGAGGAAGGCCTCGAGGGCCAGGTGGTCTTTCTTAGGCAACTTTCCATGCCCCTGGGGGTCGAGGCAGAGTATCTACGCCTTCAGTACTACATATCAGAGCCCAGATGCCACCTGGAGATGGAACTGGAGG